TATGTATTCATGTTACTTTTTTGTTTTTATTTCAACTATCCATAATTATTTATTATTTTCAACAAAAATTTTTATAGTGCTCCACCTATTGGCAAATATCTATTAGTTGTTGACTACTTGCTGTTTTTTAGTTCTACTAACTTAAAATGATGCTTTGCTCTTTTGCATCTGAAATGAATTCATATATTCACATCGTGTTGGTTTTGTTACTGTCAGTAGATCTTTGCTAATGGCTATAGTCATCCTAGGTCACAAAGTGATGAAAATTTGATAGTTGAATTTTCCTACGATGAAATGAAGGGAACTTATGTTAGCATTAAAGCTTACTTAATCTTGCCTCGTAAGAGGTATTCTTATCTATGTCGTAGCGATCATGCCTATCGAGATTGCTGACTAAATTTGCTTAATTCTGCCTAAAATTTTCTTTAAAGCAGTTACATTAAACCATTGTAAGAAACCTAATCTTAGCTTATTTAGGATTTTTACAATTATCATCTCCCAATGTTTGTAACCTGGACAAAGAGTTGTATAATTTCTTTTTTTGCCCTAAATAATGATTTTCTTTTTAAATTAAGAAGGAAACCTAAATTTGTGGGCCCATTCTTTAATAACTAGGACATCCAAAATTTTAACTTATTTTTCCAACCCTATACTGTATTTAGTGTTCTTATCGAATCTATTCATTAACCCAAGCAAGTCTTCCAAATACTCTTTGTCATGCTGCTAGATATAAAAGTAGTTATCCATATATCTGTCTAATAATTTCGGAATTAGGAGTGCTTCTTGAGAAAGCCGGACTTCCAATAGAGCCAGGTATTTAGCTTAAACTGGAGACAAACACGGTTCCATAACTAAACCTTTGGTTTGCTCGTATACTTTATTTTACCTTAAAAATATCTCCAGTATTACCTTTATGCATTATGCCCTTTTATACCCCTATTTTTAACATTGCTTCTTTATATAATAATATACCTGGGCTACCATACGTATTGATTACACAATTTAAGGAAGCGCGAATCTTTTTTTAAATGCTAGATGATCTAGCGTAGATCAAGAACAGATAATTAATCAATAGGTTTCAAACACGAAACCTTCAAATAGGAACTTCCTAATGGCGATTCGATCAAATTACCCTCTGCCCTAATTCATCGCAAGAACCCATATTGGCTAAATAAATGGGTATGTCGTGTTTATGAGGTTCTCTCATTTGATAGTAGGCTAGATCAAAATCCTTTTAATTCCTAGCCATATAACACTCAAAGTTCGAGTATAAATTTATCGTAAATTTGGCTAGATCTTTCTCAAGCTCCGTTTATTCTCCACGTTTAATGCCAATATTCATTTATCAAATATGTTAACTTATATCCAGAATAAGTTGGTGGCGCGACCCAATCTGCTTTGTCCCTTCGAGGAAATTGGCGGCCATAGAGGTGTTTTCGTTTCTGGTGGCCAACCGATGTGGCTATTCAGTGGTCATTTTGGCGAACTCCGCGTCTTTCCACATGCCGTTGACGGCGTTGTGCCTGGCTTCACTCCGCTTCATACGGCGACTCTACCAAATGGATTCGTATACTTCACATGCTCGGTATGTCCATTCTTACTATCTACTTGATCCTCTACTTATGTAGAAACATCTTTGAAGATTCCAATACAGGCCATTTATCTAAAAGTGTCAAGTCTTTAAATAATTAAAATTCATACAAAACATATCAGATGCATCTCCTCCTGAAGAAATTATTTGCTATGAAAATTAATACTTAGCTGTCCTACGAATATTTTCTTACGTCTTATTTTGGATTCCAATTCATTGGAATCGGAGCGAGGTCATTTTTGATGACAACACAAATACTATTATGCTTTTCTTACTCATTGCAGGTAGTTTGATTTTCGGTTTGCCTATTTCCCATAGTTAATGATTAATTTTGACACTGTGATGGGTTCTCATTAATAATTACTCAGACTTGTTTCTTATTTTGACATCTAAACAATCTTTTTGATTCTTCCATAAATGGTCGTAGATCCCATGTCATTTGATTTTATTTCGTAACATGTTTCACATTCAACTATCTGTCTATTTTGCATTTTGGCTTTTATTATTCGATATAACTTTTATTCAACCTATCATTTATATCAGTCCCTAGTATATCAAATGAATCTAGGCTATGCACCTGACTCTTTCAACTATTTAAAGTTTCAAACATTATCGATGAAGGCATGCGAATTTTAGGATTACGATGACTGGGCGGAGGGTTCTTCGTTTCGAAGGTTACTCACATTGATTTTAAATCGCTACCTCCGTATAGTACTGTAGTTTCGGCCTTATTCCCTTTTCGATAGACAGCTATTTTTGTGAAGGCCGATAGATTCAAATAAGATAGTGACAATCTTAAGAGCCCTGTTATATATAACCTCTTCAACATTTGTCCTTCATCTAATGTGCTGTAGATTACATTCTCTTAAATTTTGTGGGAATCTCAACACATTAAAGTACCATGACCTCGAAGTACTTAGTAATTGTCTAACTGGTTACTGTTGAAGAATAGACATTAATCTGCCTCACCAATAACGAGAAACTTTTATAGAGTTTATAGTGAGCTTCAAAGTATTCTTGATTGTCACTTAAAACGAATAATGCCATATAGGTGACCCTTCTAATCTAGCAGGTTCGAGAGCAACAACCTAAATTATTGAAAGGCTGTAATCGCGATAGGTTTTCCGTTTATATCTTGAGATAACTTTATTAGAGGAGGCCTTCTGTTTTGCGCAGTCTCCTTTAGCTTTATAATGTTGGTTAGACCTTGTTTTCGCAACTTGGTCCGAGCGTCATAGAGACCTTGCGGAACGAACCTAATCCTGTGTCATCTGATATAGTATTCGTGATTTCCAACATTGGACCATTGAATTGGTACATTCCCAAACGTTTCGCCGGCATCATCAGTGAGAGGCGCCATCGTAATGACATAGTTACAACTGATCAAATTGAGACGTAATGGCAATCACCTTGACGAATTTTCTGCGTAACCGTTCTGGCATCTTTCCTCACTCCTATTCCTTGTTCTCTCTTCTAGTGCCGAATCTCTTTATCTCAACCTTACTTTATATGGCCCACCAACTTATTTACACAATTATGTGCTCTCGTTTCCTTTAATGTCGCCTAAGAGTGTATCACTACAAGTGGGTTTAATGGAGCGTTATCATCTCCACTACCGTTACAAGATGCAATTTGCAGGGCTCCAAACTTTCATTCTGCTCTCCTTTTACATATCTCGCTTATTAATGTGCCGCTGCTAAACATAAAAATCACTGTAATGAGATGTATTCACCCTATTTCGTGTAAGGTGATGAAGGACTGGTAGTAGAATTTTCC